GTTTTCCTTCCAGTCATGGGATAATTTCCCAATTACCAGAACTGTAAGGCTCTGTTAATTCGGAATAATCCGAAATTCCCACTTTTATTCATTAGGCTGGGGTCGTTTCTTTTTTTTTTTTTGCTGAAACCATGGTAATGATGGTTAATTACCGGTTGCGGGTTGGTGTTTGGTGGTAGTAAATTCACTGGATTATTGGCCGAAATTTGCGTTGGTAAATTTCCTCCTTGGGGCTGGGGGAGATTATTGTTATTGCCTTGGCTCATTAGAGAATTAGCGACCGATACGGCTCCGGATGCTCCACCCGTTTTAACCGTTAAATAGGCTTTGATGGCTCAACCAATACCCGCTAAAAGAGTAGGCACTACGGTCATAAATCCGGTTAAGGCTAAACCAGTGCCAACTTTATCAGCCGTTCACCGGAAGGGAGCGGTCACAAAATTTAGACATTTATCCCCGGTTGTGGGGATATAGTGTTCGTTGACCGATTTTTCTCGCACCAGTTTGTTGATGGCTTCCTCTAAATTATTGCCGCGTTTTCCTCACGGGAGATTAGTGTTGATTATGCCTGTTAGGCGGTTTTTTTCCTTCACGTGGTTTTCTTTTTCCTTGTTTAGTTCCAAATTAGTGCGACCAATTTCGGCCTCTAATTCGTTAATTTTGCTAGTTAGTCGGTTTTGCTTTTCCAGTAAGTTGTCCGCGGCTTGTTCTATGGTTTGGCCTTTTTCTTTGGCAGCAAAAAGTCGGTTTTCTAGTTTGGAGTTGATTTTGTCCCGGAGGTTGTTGTCTTGTTGTTGAACTTGGTTCCAAATTTGGTTTTTTTGCTGGGTTAGGGCCTCCTGTTTTTGTTTTTCAAAATTAACTAATTGGGTTTCTAGTTGTTGGATTTTGTTTTGGTGTTTAGTGAGGATTTCTTGAAATTGAGTTTTTTCTTTTTGGAAGTTGGCTTTTTCTTTGTTTGGTTCTTGTTGGGCGGTGGAGATTTGTTTTTGGAGTCGAAAAAGTTTTTGTTCTAATTCTTTCGTTTGTTGAGTTCTTTCCTTTAATTTTCATTGTAATTGCTCAACGAGAGCTTTGTTTTTTTTTCATTCTAATTCTGCCTTCAATTCATTTCTCGGTCGCTTATCTTTTTCTTGCCAGGCTTTCACGTTATACCCATAAGGACTTAAAATTTTTTGAAAAACTGTGTTGTGACAACCAAAGTAGTATAGTTTTTCAGTCGGTAGATATTCCAAACCTTCGGTGATTGATTGGATACCTCCGATACATACATATTCCAAATCTTTACAATTTTCCAAACTTTTTAGTGAACCCACAAAATTTTTTTTTACTCTAGTTGTTTTGAATCCCAAATCTAGTTTTTTAAGTTTGGTTAGATGAGAAAGAGTATCAAGATCATCGGTAATTTCATTGCCATACGCAATAATCTCTGAAAGTTCGTTACATCCTTTTAGATTCAAACCTGTTAAGTGACTACTTCAAAACGATAGAGTTCTCAATTTCACAAAATCACTCAAATCCAAATTTCCTTCTAAATTGTCACACCTGGCAATAATTTTTTCAATTTTTCCTCTCTCCTCTTTCGGATAATTTTCATCCAACCATTTTTGAGCGTCAACCATGATAATTTTATTTTATTAATTTTTTTAATTTTCAATCTAAAATAATGTTTTTTTCAGTATCAAATAATATTAATTTATCCTCGTTGTCTCTCTCTCTCTCTCTCTCTGGTATTTTTGTTTTAAGTTAAATTAAGTCTTAAAAAAACATTGATTTAGTATGAAAAGACAAAAATATAACAAAAAAACACATGAATTTTTAGGGCAAATTACTGGTAAATTTCAGGACAGGCTTTATGATGAAAAAGAGGATATTTACCGTTTGCAAGTAAAGTTAGAAAACAACGATCTAATTAGTGAGTTTCAAGTGAGGGAAAATCTAGTTGATAAATCCGTTTGGGAAAAAGTTATAAATAGCGATTATGTTGATAAGAGATATCTATTTTTTTGTGATAAAATAGCCTCTACTTATCGTTTGAAAAATTGAAAAGAAATCCCCAAAGAATAACTTTTACCGGTTCTTTTCCACTCAATCCCTTTTTTTCTCCTTGGTGCTTTCTAGCGTATTGTAAAGGGCATTGTAAGCATCTTTATAAACTTTCTTTCATTCCGGACTTTTCCAATCTTTTTTAATTCCAGTTTGCCTTTCTAATTCGTCAGCATCAACTTTAATTTTTCCGGGGTTGTCAAGTTGCTTTTTCTCTTTTTTTTCTTGGAGGTTTTTCTCCCCGGATGTTTTTCTTGTGGGGGCTTGTTTTGGCTTGTTCGTTTCATTTTTTTCCTTTCCTGTTGTCCGGAAGTTATTAATGATTTCGGTGATGTTTTGGCTCCATTCTCTTATTTCGTTTTGAAACGACATTCTTTCATTTTTTTCTTGGTTAATTAGTTCGTAAATTTGCGTAAATTTTTCCTCCTCTCAAAT